ATTAAGAACTGTATATAAAAGGCTTTTAAGTTTTATCTATTTATTATATAAAATTATTTAATTAAATTTTATTTAAAAATAAAAAAAAAATTATTTTAAGACGAAGGTATAATTAGGTTAAAACCTTATTTTGATCTCTCAACTATTGTATAAATACTTTATTTGATCTTTGAATTAAAAAAATTTCTTATTTGGTTTTTATTATTTATCATTTTAACCTCAACTTAGTTCTTCTGTTAAAAATCGACTTACATGAACCATTACTTACGGGAAAAAGATGACAGCATGGCAAAAAAAATAATGACATGACAAGAAAAAATCTTAAAATATTCCCCCCCCCCTTTTTTTTTCTTCCTTTGATTTTCCTTTTTTCCCTTTCATCTTCCTCTTCCTTTCCTTGCAAACCCTAACACTTTCTAATATTAATAAAAAAAAAAACACAAACCCAGAATCTCCCCAAAACAGTCACTGATCCTAAATGCTTTCTCTTAGCCTCCTAAAAACACCCAAAAAATCAAGGCATCTTCTTCCAAATTTCTAAAAAAAAAAAAAAAAAAGAACTAAAGCATCTTTTAAGTTTTTTGAACCCAGCAGATCAACCCAGCAAATTTGCTGGGTTCCGAACCCTTTGCAGATCGACAAATCATTGGGTTCGAAAACCCAATAGATCATTAGGTTCTATCAAACCCACTTAGCAGATCTTTGAATTCAACATCTGTACACTAGTAAGTAAGTCTCCAATCATAAGCAGCCATATGCAAATTTTTTCTCTCGTAATCAAATTTTACCAAATTCTCAATGAAAACAGCTTATACAAACAAAATATTCATTAACAAAATAATCAACTGTAGCCCAAAAATATTTCTAAAATTTAAGCTTCTAAACATAAGGGGCAAAAAAAAAAATTTTGAACCCAGCAAATCACTAGGTTGGATTAATCGAACCCAATAGATTTGCTAATTTTTTCAGTTTAAAAATCAAACCAAATATCCATATAATAATTAAAGCACCAAAATAGAGTTTCAACCTATAAATTATTATTGTAATATTTTTAATTGTAAGTAAGCGTCACACATCATGCCGATGTCACTAGATAGATAGACAGGACGCGTTACGAAACCTTTTTCATGACATCTCGTCCTTTTCATGACATCTCATCTCCGCTCTTGCGCTGCTGCTAGTCGTTTATCGTTATCCAAAATAAACCTAATCTGCAAAGTGAATTTATTTTTACGGCGGCATCAGGAAAACGCTGTAATCACAGACCGACGGACCAGTTGAGCTCCGCCTCAGTTCCGTCTAAATTCAAATTAGAAAATTAGTTTTTTCTTCCATACTAGTTGTAACCAAATAATAATTATTCCAACATGACAATTGTTTATTAAAAAAAATTATCTAAAATAAAATAATTAGCTCAGATTTGGTTATAGCATTGCATTTGCAGCACTCGTTGCATACTAAAAACAAACATCAACTCCAGAAATCTGATCGGATCCGGTTTTGATTTTCGCTTTCACCGATGTCGATTCAGATTTGATTGTTCGATTTTCGAGAATTACTACTAGTAGTAGTAGTAGTTTCATTTCTTGTTGGAATCTGAAAATCTCGGATTTCATTGGCGGCGCCGGCGAGGGCGATTCAGATTCACTTCATTTGATCGGAGATTCGGAATTGTTGTCTCAAAAGGAGAACAGAAGCGCTTTTTCAGGTACTGCTATTATTTTTAGTCTTTATTTTGTCCACCTTTTCTTTGGAGATGCATTAAATTCATTCCTGATTCAGTTTTTTTTTTTTTTTTTGGGAAATACCAATTGTTTCTAAGAATGAATTGAATGCAGGCTGTGTGGAATTGATAATTCCAGTGATTATTGCTAAACACGCTTAGATTTTTTGTGTGTACTACATGGGGTGTCGGTGTTCTAAGCTCACACCATGTTGCTGGGGTTCTCAGTTCAAGGCAGCAGTGCTGGAGGGCCCGGAGATTGGTGGGTACTAGTTGTAGATACAATTATTCTTCTTCTCTGCTACTTCCCGGATGATTAGATTAGAATTAGATTGATGTGTTGTTGTGTTTCTTGCAGAGAATGAGGATAAGGGTGAGGTTGATAACTTGCCTGTGTTTCGGGAATTCACGTTGGAGCAGCTTAAGAGTGCCACTTCTGGATTTGCAGTAGACAACATTGTGTCAGAGCACGGGGAGAAGGCTCCGAACGTTGTCTATAAAGGGAAATTGGAGAATCAGACAAGTATTGCTGTTAAACGCTTCAATAGAGTGGCTTGGCCTGATGCACGCCAGTTTTTGGTATATATTTACAAGTTATCTTCTTCTTCTGTTAATTTTCTCCTTGAAGAAATGTATTGGGTCCGCACAAGTCATGCTCTTTTCTTTTGCACTTGCAGGAAGAAGCAAGATCAGTTGGCCGGCTACGCAACAATAAATTGGCAAATTTACTTGGTTGTTGCTGTGAAGGTGATGACAGGTTGCTGGTGGCAGAATACATGCCCAATGAAACGCTTGCCAAACACCTATTTCATTGTAAGCCTCTTCCATTATCCCTACTTTTAATTATTAACAATTTCCAGATCTCCCATTTTATGAAGTCATGCAGTGAGATATGGATGTTACTTATACATTTCCAAATTTGATGTTGGACTTGGAATTTAGTTTGACGCAACTTTTAGGTGGTCCATTTCCTGTTTGCAGCATTAGATTTTATTAATAGTATTTAATGTACCATTTTTTTTTTTCCTTATATTGTCATGGTTTGAAATAAGTGCCCGTGGGGATCTTGTTGGAGATAGTTTCTCTTGTGATTACCAGAAGCTTTAATTCTCTGCCCCACAAATTTCTTTCTTTTATCTTATTGATTGTAAGGTGGCATTTACTTTGTGCCATTAATAGCTTTGTGGTTATCAGTGATCAGTTGGGAAGTTGCCATTGCCTAGGTGAATAGGTGATCTAAGTGTTCATCCTTGACATCTGCAATCATGTTGTGTTTCTACATTCATTGACAATTTCAAAAATATGTATTATGGATTAATTTAAGGACTTGCTGTAATCAGGGGAAGCACAACCTATGAAATGGGCAATGCGATTAAGGGTTGTACTCCATCTAGGGCAAGCTCTAGAATACTGCACGAGTAGAGGGCGTGCCCTTTATCATGACCTTAATGCTTACAGAGTTTTATTTGATGAGGTAAAGTAGTATGCAACTCCTATTATCTGAAATGGCTTGTTTGATAAATCTTGTTTGCATTCCCTATTTTTATATATTAGAACCTTGCAGGAAGGAAATCCAAGACTGTCAACATTTGGCCTGATGAAAAACAGTAGGGATGGAAAAAGTTATAGTACAAATTTGGCATTTACTCCTCCCGAGTATTTGAGAACTGGTAAGTTATGAGAGCTGCTTTCCTTTTGGGCTATTGCTTCAAACAAATGCTTGTTGTTCTACTACTAATTTTTTCTATCATGTGCAAGTTTTCATTTTGCATGCCTTTTCTTTGTTATATAGGAAGAATAACACCAGAAAGTGTAATATATAGCTTTGGGACTCTTCTGCTTGATCTTCTTAGTGGCAAGCACATCCCTCCCAGTCATGTAAGATGTTGTTTCTCAGAAAATCTTCATTCCATTTCTTTTGGGGTGTTCTCATGTGATGATGCCAAACATTCCTACATAATGTGGTTGCTAATAACATCAGAATGTGAATACCTTTTATCTTTTGCATCTTGATTTTGAACACTTAATGTAACTTAGACAATAGCAGAGCGCTTCTAAAGAAAAGATCCCAAGCTCAATTCCTATCCCAAACAAACAAAGAACAGAGATTTCTGATGCGCTAGTAATTTGTACCAGGCCCTTGACTTGATACGGGACAGAAATCTTCAGATGTTAACAGATTCATGCTTGGAAGGACAGTTTTCAGATGATGATGGGACTGCGCTAGTACGCTTAGCTTCTCTTTGTTTACAACATGAGCCCAGAGAACGGCCCAATCCAAAATCATTAGTTGCTGCTTTGACACCTCTTCAGAAGGAAACAGAGGCAAGTTGTTTTCTGTTTCTCTGAGAACTGGCATACAATTTTGTTCCCGTTGCAAAAATACGTTCATGTTTTTTTATATCTATAGAAGTGACTCAGCACTACAAATGGTTGTCAAAGGCTATTTGATTCGCTAGTTGATTTATCTCATATTACATAATCTGGATCTATTTTCAAGCTCATTGATCTTTCAAGTAGCTGCAACTTCTTATTTTTGTCTTTGGGCTTCAGCAAAAGAAACATGGTTGAATTTCTTTTCTTTCCTTTGCAGGTTCCTTCAAATGTCTTGATGGGTATCCCTCATAGTGCTTCTTTCTCATCTCTGTCCCCTCTTGGCGAGGCATGCTCGAGAAGGGACTTGACTGCCATACATGAGATATTAGAGAATCTTGGGTACAAAGATGATGAAGGAGTGGCAAATGAGGTCTGTTTGACTTGAGAAGATCGTAAATAGTTCCTTGCTGAAACTGAATGTTGGTCTGTCCAACACCAGAATGCAGCAAAATCTGTTTACCATAGTTATTGAAACTTTTTTTTTTCCTGATATTATGCGCAGCTCTCCTTCCAAATGTGGACAGACCAAATGCAGGAAACATTAATTTCAAAGAAAAAGGGTGATGCAGCTTTCAGGCAAAAAGATTTCAGGGAAGCAATTGAGTGTTATACACAGGTTAGGTTCCTTTTCTTTCTCCTTTTTTTTTTTTTTCTTTCAATGTTTGATGGATTTAAAGAATGTCATTAGGTGTATTCATTGGAACCTTTTATATATTTGCCCCAACGGGACTGCCAATGGGTGGGGTGGGCTGAATCAGACTTCCACTTTAAGAAATGACATCACAATCTAGTGATGGACAGAACCTAGAATCTGATTTGACCCATATTGTTTTCTCCTCCAGTCCGTCCATTTTGTTTATACTTCTGTTTCGTGTTTGCATTTCTTTCTTGCTATTAAAGATCCGGTGTTTTAAGAATGCTGCTGATAGATTCTTCTTTGACTATCAGTTTATTGATGTTGGAACCACGGTTTCTCCTACGGTTTTTGCACGGCGTAGTTTGTGTTATCTCATCAATGACATGCCTCAGGAAGCCTTAAATGATGCAATGCAAGCGCAAGTCATCTCCCCTATATGGCATGTAGCCTCCTATCTTCAGGCAGCTGCTCTTGCTGTAATTGGAATGGACAATGAAGCTCAAACAGCCCTTAAGGAAGGTGCAACTCAAGAAGCCAAGAGGAGCAAAACTTCTGGACAGAAGTGAAGGTCATGGATAGACCTCTTTGTTTCAGAATTCCATCTAGGAGGCTAATTGAATTGCTATAATTACAAAGTTGGTACAGCAAATTTGCATTCAATTCCATAGTTCAGCTACAGAAAAGCAGTGTTCTCCACTTAATGCTGGGACAGAATCATGGCGTTGATTTGTTCTTGATTCTAGGTGAAATAGAAGAGTGTAGGGTTCGGACTTCTCTTTTTCTTTTTTGAGTATGTGAGAAGTTAGTCTCATTCTCTGTGCAGTTTGATCCGTGCGTCATTGTCCCAATATCTTTCCCAACACAGTCACTTCGAGTGGGAAAAAAAAAACAACATATTTTTCTCATTTTTCCAAAGGGAAATTTCTAGGAGGATTGAGAAGAACAAACTGTTAACAATGATGTCTGATTAGTTTGTGTATGGATACCACGCTTAGCATATTTTTTATTATAAAATCAACTACGCTTACTTTAGAGATCAAATTATTTTATAGAAAAATATTTTAAAAAATTGTTTTAAATGCACACTGAACATATATTTCATATTTATGAAGGATCATTTGTCTTCTCTTTTTTTTTTTTGAACTGAAGAAATATATATATATATATATGAGGTTGGTGTTTGTCAGCCTGACCTCCCAAAAATTAGGAGGAAAAAGGAC